GACCAGGCTGCGTTTGCTGCGGCTGCTCACGAAGGAGATGAGGTGGTGCCCGGCGGGTGGAACGGGTTGGGCGGTTGGCGCGGGTCGAACGAGTCAAACGGGTTTGGACGGGCCAACTCTCAAAACGGGCCGAAGCATGCACTCGGCCCGTTTTTAAGCCCGGGTCCGGTTCAACCGGTTCAACCGACCGGGCCGGGCCAGGTTTTAAAACAATGCTTAACCTTTTTTCAGTAATAAAGTTTTAAAAAAAAAAATTATTTTTGTGCTTCTTTGAAAGGTGATTGGAATTTTGATGCTGATACAACAATTTCTATTTATTTACTTTTGTTATATCAATCACCATAAACAGTTTGTGGCTAGATATTCTTTTACATTTTCAATTAAAATGTGAAATTACTCAAACAATGTTAAATTAACCCAGAGTCTACTGCCATCATTGGAAATGTTTATAAATGTTATTCTTATATTCTTATTTTGGAATTGTTATGAATTTTGTTCTCATATTCTTAATTTGGAATTGTATAACATTGTTTTCTTTGGATTAAGAAAAAGTTGTTCATAACAGTGGATCTCTTTGCATGTTGAGTTTCCTAATTTGAAGATTTTGGAGCTATCTTCAATTAACATTAATCAAATTTGGCACAATCATATTTCAGAAAACCCTTCTGTTAAAAATTTAAAAGAGTTGGTTGTGGAGGGCTGTGGTACTTTGAAATATCTACTGACATCCTCTATAGTTGAGAGTTTTCAGCAACTCACAGTGCTCAAGATTTCTGGCTGTAAGATGATGGAAGGGGTAATAGTCTTAGAACAATTAGAAGAAGAGAAAAGGATGAGGCGGACTCTCTTTCCTAAGCTAGACTCTCTAGTTCTCCAAGAACTTCCAAAATTCACTAGATTGTGTTCTGGAAATTTTTTTGAATTCCCCTCCCTTACAAAACTTACAATAAGCAAGTGCTCTATGTTGAAGACATTCATCTCCGGTTTTGCTATAGGGAACACGACAATCAACACTGAAAATGAAGTGAATGCTACACCATCTCTCTTTTGTGAAAAGGTGGTTTCTTCTCTTTTTCTTTTATTTTTTCATTATTAATTTTTTAGAATTTGACTCATTAAACTTTTAAATTTTTATCTATAGCACTTGTTCTTTTTACACAGCTTATAATTTTCACTATTCCACTCTGCCACTATATTAATAACTTTATGTTCAAAAGGCTGTATATAGAATTCATATATTCATATATTTTTAATCTATAAATTACATATAATGGGAATATATTCTGTAGTGATAGCAAGTATAAAAGCCTGGGTATTGCCACCCCTTTTTAACTAAACTTTTCTTATTCATCAAAATTTATATCCTATGAAATTCATACTCATGCTTCCATGTCATTCCTACACCTTTCTTTGATTCAATTATAAAAGTTTTAATATAAGGCCTAACATTCTTACTTAAGCTTTTTCCAGTGTTAAATGTCAGATTTTTTTCTTTTGTGAAAATTATTTTTGTACTTCTTTAAAAGGTGTTTGGAATTTGGATGTTGATGCTACTATCTCCATTTATTTACCTTTTTATATCTCCATTTATTTACCTTTTTTATATCAATTACCATAAACAGTTGTGGTTAGACAATATTCTTCCACATTTTTGCTTAAAATGTGAAATTACTCAAACAATGATAAACTAGCCCAAAGA